GTTGAAACAAAGGGGACTGTCCAGTGCTAAGCTAGGGCCCAGCAGCTGGCACAGGCCAGGCCTGTCTGCAGGATGAGGGCTGTGATCAAATGTATGATTCATAGCCGGGAGGAGGCTGCCGGGCCCAGCTGCAGAGGGGCCCTGGTGCGCCTTCTGGGCTGGGGGCATGGTGCCCTCCCCCATCTCCCTCTCCCAGCCCTGGCTCCACATGGAACTGTTCCACTGGACAAAACAGCCAGCGAGCGCTTTCATTCTATCCATATTCAATCAGGCACTTAAAACAGCTCATGACTCATGCTGGACACAGCCAAGACCAACAGCATCAGGCCTCTTTTGTGTAAGAGTTAACTGTGTTCCATAAATGATTTCAATGAGTGGAGTCCCTGTTGCTTACATTGCTACTCTCTGGAGTCAGGAGAGAAACGACCATGCTGGAGCCGAAGAAAAGCCAAGCCAGAGTGGCAGCCCCTGCTTCCTCACACTTCATCTCTGGAAGTTCATTCCAGCAGCATTTTCCTCCAAGGCTTAGCTGTCCTCACCTTAGGGGCTTGCTGGGAGGGATCGATGCAGACTTGATCAAAGAATTGGTGCCAAGTACAGGGGTGGCAGTGCCATTCTGGAGAACCCGAGAATGAATGGTTTAAGGTAGGGGTCTGCTGATTGCGGTTTGCAGCAAGTCATGGGATTTCCATTTGAGAGGAAAACAGTCCATACTGTGCAATGGAAATGAGTATATTTGATTTTGTTTCCCCTGTTCCTGAAAGTTGAAGTAGTGTGGGCGAAGTTGAAGTGGTGGGAGGCAAGTGCAGTCAGAGAAGACTGAGTGTCCCGAGCCTGGTGAGGGGCCAAGTGGACCATGAAAAATCTAGACCAAGCCCAGAGTCCCCTACAGCAATGGGATTGCTTTTGATGGCTCTGGAACCCGTCAGGCTACCAGATAACTACCTTCCGTGTACAAGTCCTGGGAAGACATCTGCTTGGAGTAAGTCTCCAAGGTTGTGCTTAACCTGTGCTGATTAGCATCAGAAAAGGGAAGGCAAAAACAGTTTGTCCAGACATTCACCCTATAGAACCTGCCCCCACGATTGTAATACTGTGTTTTATTTTTAGCAAATACATCAGTTGGTTTAAATTTTGGTTTCTAGTGAATCAATTCCATTCATATCACTCTTTATTAAATATGCAGAGCAGATTTTACATAACAAATCGCCTACTTTTAATGAAATTTAATAAGCTTATCCTGAGCTCTTAAAAGTTTGTAGCTATTTAGTGGAGCAGGAAAGGGCTGGCTTCTTTATTAGTTACATATTTAAAAATCAACTTTCAGACATTCAAGAAATTCAAGTAACAAGTCTTCCCTCTTCAAAATCTTCCTCACTGTTTTGCCTACATGTGTACATCACAATAGAGCTTCTCCAGCCCTCAGTTCTTAACAACCAGGAAGTGTTACAGAGTGGGGAGTGCAGCTCCCAGACCTGAGCCATGTGTTATGATAAATAAATAATCCCTCAAGTGCTTATCTTGCTCCTGGCAAGGATATAACAATTTAGATCTATGGATTCATAGCGCCTACAGGAAAGAATTTAGGAGGAGAAAAAAAGATTTTACATCTTGGCACGTAAAGGGGAAAGGCCTGTTAACAATAAAAATTACAAATGTGGAAAGGATATGAGGGCAATTTAACTCAGACCTGGAGAGAAAAAAAAAATCTGGAGATTTACATACCAGTAGTTGGATCTAAAGCCAAGAGCAAAGGGGAGATGAACTCAAAGATACCAACAGTGTTAAATAGCCAGATGCTGTGAAGCTGTCACCACAGAAGGCCCCTACTTATTTCTGAACCCATGTCCTGCAGAACAAACTATTGTTTCTGGACTGATTTACCCAGTGCTGGAGGTGTATCGCGTGTGGTGGACTCTGCACCACGGGTACAGTTTGAGATCATAAAAAACCTGAAGAGGGGCCCTCCCTGGTGGTGCAGCGGGTTAAAGCACAGCACTAAGAAGCTAAAAAGCCACTTCGATTCCCGCCTGCCCCGGAGGTGACCACATGGCGTGGCAGACCTCTCCTGACCCGCCCGCTCTCCCCTCAGCAAGTGTATTTCGTTGATCTGCCTGTTCTGCTCCCCACTCTGTCTCTCGTGAATCCGCTCACCCTCCACATCTCTGGCCTGTACCCCAGTTCCATATGAATAAATAAACCTTTAAAAAAAAAAAACCTGAAGAAAGAGCCCCTGAATTTAGTGTGATGACATTGTTTGCTAAACTTAACATTGGTAGCATTTATGGGAAAGATCAACCCTTGAACAGAAGAGAGGACAAGTCCTCTCACATATTGCTTGATGAACTCAACCTGAACACTATGCCCTTGGATTTCACTGAGGGTGAGTGTAAGAAATTGCTCTATCTAGAAAAATGTTTTTTTGTTTGTTTGTTTTTAAGTGCTACTGGGGACATTATTCAATGTGCTTAAGTAAGGAAATCCTTGACAAACTACCTTCTGAACTGTCACTGAACCCAGGAACCGTAAATCCCTAGTCTTGGCTCTGTTTGTCCTTGCTCTGTTCCCGTTTTATCTTTTCTTGCAGAAATGCTTTGTCCCTGCCCTATTTATCTTTTTTTCTGCAGAAACCATAGAAAACCAGACAAGACCAGTTGAGGCCAAGATGGGGGTAGAATTAAAACAAGGGTTAAGCAACAACCCATCACCATGTTAGCACACTCTCCAGTTCCATGACAGACCCAGCAAGAAAAAGGGGTACGGATGCACGTTCTGAAAACTCCTGTTTCTTTGAAATTCTGATGACCCAGACCCCTTAGCTTTTCCCTCTTCTCAACAATCTTCTACGTAAGTCCCTACTTCTCGCCACTTCGGGGAGCATGAGCTCCCATCTCCATTCTTGGGCCAAGTGAAAAACCTTAGCTGCTTGAATCGTGATTCTGAAGGCTTTCCTGGATTTGTTTGGGTTTCAGGTAGGAAAAAAAATCAAGTGGTCAGAGAAAGCACCAAACACTGACAAAGGGGTTAGAGGCTGCGTCTTAAAATCACACAAAGGATTCTGCAATCAGTGGTTTCTACCATTTTTAGGTTTGTGAGCAGCTCCAAGGGTTGATGTTTGATTGCTGTCATTGTTCTCAATCAGAATTATTGCTATAGTTTCTTCTTTTTTCAACCTAAAACAATTTCTTTTTGGTTCATTTTCATTCTGCTTTTTTACAATTTCAATTCTTTTTTTTTTCTCAAGAGGCTGGCAGACAAGAAAGGTGCAATTAATTCAGACTTACAAGATGCCTCTTAAGACCCACGTTTCCAAATGACATTGCCTTTCCTGGCAGAATGTGTGGTTCCTCCCTCTTCATTGTTTATTTATTTCAAGTGGGAAAGAATAAGAAGGCAAAGACAGCAAATTGAGGGCAGAGAGATTGCCTGGAAAATTCCCAGAAACTAACAACAGGCAAAATAATACCCTCTGAAACAGATAGGTCCTATGGAGAATTATGATTTCCATGTTCAAACACTCTTTCTCTTGTACAAACATAGTTGGAAGCTGGTTTCAACCAGTTCTTTTCCTCAAAGCTCAGGCAACAATTGAAATGACAAACATGCTCCACTGGCTGTTTTCACTGCTGATGCAGGGTAATGCTATGTGTTTTACCTGCAGCCCAGGGCGGGCAGGCAGAGCTTGCAAGGGAATGAAGCTGTTATGCAAAAAGGGCTGGTGAGCTGGCTGTCCTGATGGCTCCACACTCCCAGATTCCTGGGGCCACCATTAAAGTCTCCTGCATTTGTCTTCAATTGCCCATGGTTATTAGTGACGTTTTAGGAACTAGTTCCTAAGTAGGAAGGTTATTATTTAGGTAGAAATGTAAGCGCTTGGGGGTAGTTTCTCTTTGGGTGAGTAGTTATTGGCCTTGTGTATGTATCTAGCTTTGAGGAATGATCTGTTGCTTCCTAATTCTGTGTGTAATTTTAGTGTAATTTTAAAGATTATAGCAGATAGTAGGAGTTGATACGCATGTTAAATGGTTACTTTTAAAAATGGAAACCTGAAGGAGCTTTGAATAGCAGACTACTGTTCGGGGGGAGAACACCTGAGTTCTGGGCACCATTACTAGAACAGTAGGAACAGTAGGTGTTTGCCCTCTGGCACCTGCCCATTCTTCCCCTTCCTGTCCCAGGAGACTGACCGTGCACATGTCACTCAGAGGCCTTGCTGTAGGGAGTCCCACTGGTCTTGGGCTGGCGATGGCAGATGGGAAAGAGAGAGAGGGCACAATTACCCGCTTGCTTTCTACCAATCCAGCCTGAGAGACCTCAGGGCTCCATCCCAATAGGTGTTCCTAACTCTGTGGTGCCAGCCCTGGCTTCTGCCTCATTACCCTTTGTTTTTTTCTAATTAACCTGCCTATACCTAGGTGTTACGCCAACTGTGGTGATTTTGTGGGCTACTGGCTGAAGCAAATGGTAACCAGTTTCAGCAAACTGGAAATGGGCTTGCAGCTGTGGTGTTAAATTCCAAACCTTTGGGTTTTTTCCAAGACTGTGGTGGGGAAGGGCCAGAAAAGATGACTCTGAGCCAGCCTGCAGGCCTCTGGCTCCCTGCTGCTCTGGCTCATGGAAGCGTCAGCCCCAGGGCACTGCCCACTTTGATATCAGCAGCCACCAGTTACTAGCGCACTGGACACTTCTGGGGATGAAAAAGCTTTGCTCATGATTAAACCAACATTTTTGTTTTGTTTTGTTTTAAATGGAGGGTTTTGCTTTGTGTTTCTTAATAACCTTTTGGTGAGCAAGTGAAGAGATACCATGATGCAGCAGTGAGCGAGAGTCCAGACTTCCTTCTGCTAGCAAAACTGTCCTCAAGACCATGCACTGAGCTAAAAATGTACAAATTGCAGCGGGCTGTGGGGAGGTGAGGTGGCCAGGGCAGGCAATGACATCCTCAGTCTTTCAGATTTATATTTTATATATATATATATATGTATATATATATTATATCCAAGAGTGATAGTCATTTGTACCATTTCCCAGGGAGACATGGATGTTTCCAAGGCCAGGGCCTGGGGCCTGGGAGGGGTCAGATCGGCGGGGTCAGCTAAAGTGCTGGGCTGGGGGCTGCGTTCACAGAAGCTGCAGGAGCTTCAGTGACTGCAGGAGGGCTCCTGGCTCCGCAGATGCCAGGTACTGGCAGCAAAGCCAGTCCTCCAGCTCCACCCCGCGCCTGCGGTCCACCGCCTTCTCGGCAAACTTCATCATCATCAGGGCCCGCTTCATGTCAATCCAGTTTTTCAGGGTGTTGTAGAGGACTTCCTCAGAGGTGCCGGGCTGCTCTACCAGGTCCCGCCGGGGGCCCCACAGCAGGCACTGCAGCACCCGCTTGGCCTCCCCTATGCGGATGCGCTTGATGGGGTCGGCCTCCAGCAGCAGGTGGGCGAGCTGCTGCAGGCCTGGTGAGTAGAGGGACAGCGGCGGCAGAGGGGGCAGGTCGTCCTGCCGGTAGTCCTGCTCCCGCAGCTGGGCCCGCACCTCGAAAGGGTTGGGCTGGTGGAGCAGCTCATAGATGAGGATGCCTGTCTGGAACTCATCGAATTTGCGGTACTGGGAGGCTGACACGATCTCGGGGGCCAGCCGGGCCTGGCTCTTTTTCTGCTGCAAGTTGGTAGTGCTGCCTGGTTTTTGCTTGGCCTTCAGGAAGTTGCTGATGATGAGTCTGGGCAAGTGCTTCTCACCTGGCACTCCCTGACAGGAAGAGGCAGCTGGGGGGGTGGGAGTGGCACTGGCTGGGAGGGCTGTGGAAGGGCAAGGGGAGGGATGGGCTGCAGGGGGAGGGGATGTGGTGGTGGGAGGGGCACTGGACGTGGCAGAAGAGACAGGGGGGCCAGGGGTAGCAGCGGAGGAGCCCGGGGAGGCCTGGGGGGTGCAGTGCACCAGCAGCAAGTTCTCCAGGCACAGATCTCGGTGGATGACCCCGTGCTCCTTCAGATGTTCCAGCCCGTTGCAGAGCTGCAGAAGCAGGAAGCATACGCGCCGCTCGTAAACCTCGGGTTCGGACTGATGGCTGGTGGCCGAGTCCCGCACAAAGTCAGAGGCGGTCTGGTGGGGCACCTCTCGGGTGATGACCACCACACAGTCCTGCTCCTGGGCTGGGGGCGGCGGGGGCAGGGTAGGCAGAGGGTCCTTGGGCACATCAGGAGACGAGAGCATGCTGGAGGGCACGGAGGCGACAAAGTGACCGCAGTCCTGTTGGATGTTGAAGTGCACGGGCACAGAGGGACTGTAGTACGAGGCCGTTTTGGGCTCCGGGGTTTTGCAGATCTGCGGAGAAGAGGAGAAGTGGGGTCATGACAGGGGTTCACTGTTCTGTTGGGCCATCAGTGCTGGGGTGATTGGATCTGCTAAAGGTGAACTTAAGCCTTAAGGTAACCTGCGTCACCGCACGTCACACACACAGACGAACCAACAATGGATTGCAAGGACTTCGTCGCCAGGACCCCCCAACTTGCAACTTCTAGAAAGAGCACGGGAAAGTATCTTTGAGATCCTGGGTGGGGCAAATGTTTCTCAGCTACCATTCTGGAAACCTGGTTCATTAATGGGAAAGTTGATAAGCATCAACATTCAACTTTCCGTGCTTCAAAAGATACCAGTAAGCAAACAGAAGGGCAGATAGCAGATTGGAAGAAAGTGTTTGCAAAATATATATCTGATATACCCAGACTTTATTAAAAAAAAAAAAAAAACTTACAACACAAAAATGAGAAGATAAATGAACAAACCAAAGAGAGAACAGAAGGTATGAACAGGCAGTTCTCCAGAAAAATAGGCAAATGGTCACAAGTATATCAATGCCCTTGACACCACCACGACATACCTGTTGACAGCCTCTGGCTATGAGAGAAATGACAGACAAGAGAGTCTGTGAGGGCTGAGGGAGAAATAGAAACTCACATCTTGCTGATTTTTGGAAATGTCAAAGGTGGGGCAGCCACCTTGAATGTATTTTGGCGATTTCTTTGATTACCATCGCCCCATATAGAGCGGGCTGGGCACATTCTCAGCAGTTTGTACAAACTGCCCGCCTTGCTCCTCACCTTCATACCCAAATGGGTAGCTACCTGTCAGTGGATATGTTTCACTTCAGGTGCAACCTTCTGGGAGAATTGTGGGGCAGATGTGGACCCTCAACCTCCAGGACTTGGCTGAGTTCTCTCAAGCCGCCCTAGTTTCTAGATCCAGATGAAGATGCAGGCTGCTAGCTGGCGGAGCTCCTCTGAGGAAGCACGTTTCCTTTAAGGATGCGTCAGAGTAATAGAAATAAAACAGAAAGCTCTCTAGGGACGGTGAGCCCAAGAGCCCAGAGAACCCTCTGAACTGAAGGTAGGCATAAACAAGCAGATGAGCTCAAGCTCCTCTGGGAAATTCCCATCAGGGCCTCTTTCCCGCCTCCTCAGCATCTTCTAGTTCAAATGACAGCACCTGCCACCGGAGGATCTTCAGCTCCACCATGTCTCAGCAGGCTGCCCCATTACTGGAGAGTCTGGAGCCAGACATGATGGCCCTTGGTCAGGCTTTGGTGCTCTTGTAATTACCTTGAAAGGGACTGAAGATGGTTTGTGGTCCCCTCCTTCAAAAAGATTGTGCAACCTCAGTTATGCTTTATAGAAGGCAAGGACAGTGTGTACTCCTGAGAAGAAAGGCCTCTTGCATCTACCTATAAAATATCCTCCTGCAAATAATCCCCAAATACCTTTGGGCTGTGGCCTTGCCCCACTGGAAGGATTACAGCTGTGGTTCTGAAGCACCCCGATGCTTACAGGTGATGTTTAGAATTTCTACAAGCAGCACCTTTTCACAGAGACTTATTTTATATTGCAGATATAGAGACAACTTTGGGGCATGAAACCGGGCATAAAAGAGTCCAGGCTGAGGAAAATTTTGTGAAAGTAACTGGGGGTTGGGGTAGAAGATAACACATTGGTTTAGTACTTTTTTACAGAAGTAGGCTAGAAATAGAAGGAAATTTATTTTATCCTTGACTTTGCTTCCTATGATACTAACAACAATGATTTTGGAATGCACGGTTGCAGATCACTCTTACTCCAGCCCAGCCCACTGACAGCTTTTCAGCGACAGTTTTCTAGCACACTTTTAACTAAAGGAAGTGGGAGGAGGCGCTTAAGAAAATCACATACATGGCCCTCCCTGGAGGCACAACGTGTTAAAGCACAGCAGTGAAGCTCCCGCCATGTGAGTTCAATCCTTGGCCAGGGAGGTGACCCACATGGCGCGGCAGACCTCTCCTGTCTCGCCTGCTGTTCCCCTCAGCAGTGTATTTCAGTCAATCAGCCTGTTCTGCTCCCCACTCTGTCTCTGGTGAATCCTCTTACCCTCCACACCTCTGGTTTGCACTCCGGTTCTTGTATGTATAAATAAATAAATCTTTAAAAAAAAGAAAAAGAAAATCACATACACACCCGCCACTGTCTGTAGCACTGTCTGCTGTGTCATGACGGAGGTGTGGGGCTGTCACTCCTGATGTGGGCCTGAATACCTTCCAGGAGGGCTTCTCAACGACAACAGACACCCACTTAACTCCTACAGGTCATGTGTGGACTATACCTACTAACCATTTTCAAGCAGTGTCTCATTAAATCTCAAACAAGGGAACGAAGCAGATGTTACTACAGAGAAGAAAATTGAGGCTTTCAGATGCTCAGTGGTTTGCCCAAGATTATATAACTTGAGAAGGACTCTCACTGCCCCAAGTATGGGCTTAAGATGGAAAAAAATCTTGGTTTAAATATGAATTCTACAAATACTGGGAAGTTACAACCGATACTCATTTAGCAAATCCCGAATCATAGCTACTAGGCGCAATACAAGGAAAGTTCTTGCAAGCCTGTACCCCTACTCTATGCATGTCTAGGAATACCCACAAAAGTGGCACAAATGTGGGGGTTACAAATACATGTCAGCAGTGGATTCACAAACAGAATCCACATAAACTGGGGAGAAGCTGCATTTCTTTTGAAGTCTGTCTCTTCTGCATATGGGGGTGGTGACAGTTGCTTCCTCAGAGGGCCATTGTGAGTCTGCAATGAAACAACACAGGTGTGTCTTCAGCTCAGGTCTAGCAGGAGAGGCTCACGGGAAAGGTTGCCATGGTGATTGCTCCCCAATCTGGCTACAGCCATGTGGTGTTGCCACAATCCAGAGCTGGCTGGCAGGTGAGTGCACCACCCAGACAGGGCAGCAGTCCAGGGGCTGGGAAGTACTTCCAAGAATCTCCTTTCTCAGGGCTACCAGAGGCTGGGCACCTCCCCCCCACACACACACACACTGGGGCACAGTGCTCCAGTGGAGCCCTTGACAGTTGCAGAGATGCAAGTGAAGGTGCAAATAAACTACAACCGGGCTGGCTGGCTCTCAAAATCACCTAGCTGGTTCTCTAGCAAGATACTCACCGCTGGCCCTGGAGAGCTTGTGCCTGTGCCCACAGCATGTTAATACCACTGGTGCCCTGAGATCATCCCTCAGTGTACTTTGTGGGGTGGGGGGGAAGAGGAGAGGAGGAAAGAGGTTTTCTCTTTCCCATCCCCCTCCATTCCATCCCCATTTCATTTTCAGAGGGGAATCAAGAGCTTCAAACAAGCCTCTGGTTCAGCTCAAATTTCCAACTTTTTGCTGAGCCAAGTCTCATTTGAACCTTGGAGCCCTAGCCGTATTTTGGGTAAGAATCTGGACTAAGTCACGTTCTATTCAATAAAAAAGGCACAGCCAGCTGAAAGCAGGTCCCTAATTACGGAACTGGAGTTCTGGTTGACTGAGGTATAAAACAACTTTAAAAACTCATATGGAGCCAACAGTCCTCCCAACCCCCCAGATATCCCCAGAGTGGGGCTACAAGAGCAGCTTTCATGTGGCTGCACAGGTCTCGGGCCCAGAACAGAGGCTTTGCCATTAGCAGGCGCAGGTGCAAGCCTGCTGTTGTCAGTGGGGACTTCCGTGTGGGCTCCTGTTTGCCATGCGCAGATGAAATGAGCTCAGGGCAGGCGGTCTGAAAGGGGCCCAGTCCCTCCTGCGGCTTCTGGGTGACTATTCAGTCTAGACCGGCTTGCTCACAAAGTGCGACAGCTGCACATGTGAAATGATGTTCCACGAACAGTCCCACACCACCCTCAGCCCACCTCCCAGCTACCAGGCCAGGCACATTTGCAAATTGCTATTATTGTTCCCCAGGCTCTGAATATTTGCAGCCATTCTTCAAATTTCCTTTTCACACAGTAAGAGACAGTCTTGAAGTTGCTAAGCAGTCTCCAGGCAAGTGAGCTAGGAAACCCCTGGGGCTCCTTCCCTTAAAGGGTGGAGTCTGCCTTCTGGTTTCCTTATGGTTTCTATTTCTAATGACATGAGGATCAAAGCCTGCATTTTACATCCTTTGGCAAAGCTGAGTTTTCTAGGCTTCCTCAAATGGAAAGATTAGCTCCCTCTTAACACTGAATGAGCTGCCCAGTCCAGCCACAGGAGACAAGGTGAGCATGACTGGAACACAGGCAGGGTTCAGTGTAGAAGACAGGATGATTCACACATCACTCTCTCAAACTCACTGGGGCTAGCAAAAGGGAAAAGCCTCCTAAAGAAACCTTCATCCCCTTGATTTTCAGGGCGTTCAAATTTAAGATGCTTTCATTGGTTGGGACAGAACCCTAGTTCTGGGACCATGGTTATAACCCGGATAGTCATGTTAAGCTCACAGGAGAGTCCGTTCACTTTTCCCTCTACTGACAACACCATTCTGAAAGGAAGGGAGATGCCAGAATTTTTCTTTTAATTGTGGCTGAAGACGTGACTGCGGAGGCTTACCAAGCAAAGTAGCTAATGGGATTAGATGTAAAGAGGCAAAGTTCAAGGAGCAGCACAGACTGATTCAGGACACTGGTGTTTTCTCATCAGAATGGCCCTGTCTTGGCTTAATCTTATTTCTGACAATAAACTAGATCTTCCAGGCAGTCTCCCCCTCCCTAGTTTGTACACAGGAAGGCAACCAAGTAATTTTAGATAGCCCCGGAACACAAAATCAGGGACCCCCAATTAGTATTTTATGGTTGTGTCCAAAGGAAAAATCTCAAAATTTACCACAACTTTCCTTGGCTAATTGTTACAATATTTAAAAAATATTGCTGGCAAGCAGGAAGCTATCCCATTAAGCCATTTTTTTTTTTGTTAGTTTACCCATTGTGTATGTGAGTGTATGTGTGTGTGTGTGTGTGTTTTCTAACCTGAAATAAAGAGGTTTGGGACAGGTGGGGGAAGAAAAGCACTTAGGGACTTCCTCTTTGCATTCCATAAAAGCCTGCTTTTCTAGAAAGCTCATAGGTCCATCAGCTATTCAAAGCAGACCAGAAAAAAAAGAAAAAGGAAAGGTCACATGAAAGGACCAGAGTAGGCAGCAGAGACCAGAGTGGCCAGATGGGTGTAGCTAACTGGATGAGGCTGCCCAGAGCTACAGCCTCAGAGCTGTGGGGCACCAGCAACAGCACTGAGCCAGTCTCACGCTGTGAAGAGGTCTATGACTCTGGACTAGGCCCTTAACTTCTCTGAACACCATTTCCTTAACTGATAGGACTGCAGCATAAGATTGAGCCACCGAAGAGAACAGGTTTAAAATCCTATCAGCCACCAACTTAGCTGTGGGCCGGTTACTTAAGCATTCGAAGCCTGAGGTTTCCCATTAAACTACTCACCCTGTGAGGATTCGAGGTCACGTGGTTAATATGCCCCGAAGACTAATTATATAGTGAATGTGCAACCAGTGCTATTAGTCTTATTGTTCAAGATGATGCCTACATTGAGCTCTCCTGGTTCTAGCACTTGAAGAACACTATCTTAATTGTCCATCTCCCTCACAGAGTAAAAGCTTAATCCACAGGTGCCTTAATTCTTCTCTACATAATCAGACCTTGCTAAAATACCTGGCATAGAGAAGCACCTAGTAGAGACCTCCCCTGTCTTTACGGAGGGAATGAACTTTGTTGCGTTAAAAGGCAACTGCTGGCCCTCCCTGGCGGCTCAGCAGGTTAAAGCACAGCACTAAGAAGCTAAAGCCACTGCAGCATGCGTTCCATCTCCGCTCCAGAGCTAGGTGACCCAAATGGCGCGGCAGACCTCTCCTGACCTGCCCCGCTGCTCCCTTCAGCAGTTTACTTCTTCGATCTGCCTGTTCTGCTCCCCACTGTCTCTGGTGAATCCTCTCACTGTCCCTGCACCTCTGGCCTGTACCCCAGCTCTGTATGCATAAAACAAAAAAAAAAGGCAACTGCTTCATTAACCTAACTAGACCATAGGTTCACTCCTGAAAGCATGGAGTGACTCTCATTGATCTGGTGTCCTGGTCAGGCATCGTGTGAAGTCACTGGGCGTTAACTTTTAAGAGGCACCTTAGGAACCAACCCCTTCTGAGTCTGGGGGGTGAAAGTGCTTGCTCTCGCCATAGCGCGGCCATAGCCAGGACCAGCCCCGGCCGCCCATGGGAAGGAGGGCTGGTACCTACTTTCACAGCATAGGTGCTGCCGGGGTCCTCGGAGCAGGTGGCGCAGTAATAAATGGCATCCCCCGAGTCACAGCAGGGCTTGTTGCAGGTGAGCTTGAAGAGCGACCAGTTGTTCTCGTTGAAGTGCAGCTCCTTTTTCTGGCCACCCATGAAGAGGTCCTCACACTTGGCCACCAGGCGGAGCAGGGACTGGGCGTAGAGCCCCCCCAGCTTCTTGTAGGTGCCGTCCTTGCTGCTGATGCTGCTCAGGAGGCTGCGCAGGTGCAGCTGGGTGCTGCTGCTGGACGCCTGGCTGCACACGCTCAGCTGAGAGGAGGAGGCCGAGGGGGCCCCTTTGCACTGGGCGCCAGAGCTCCCACAGATGCTTTTGCTGCCCGCCGACCCCGGTGCTGGGACCCAGTGGCCATTGCCTTTGAAGGTTTTCTCCAGAGGCTCCGAAGAGAAGATCTGGTGCTGGCGGCTCCCAGGACCATATCTGGAGGAGTGGCTCAAGTGGGAGTCCTCGTGGACGCAGACGTTGGTCTCCGAGTGACTGGGGTTCAGCTTGGGGCTCGCTGTTCTTGTCTTGGGGGAGCCCTGGGTCCAGAAGAAGCCATCTGGCGAAGAAGCTGCCCGGCTCACTATCTTTTTCTGGGGGAGAGGCGGGGGCTGCAGAGCGCTGCTGGGGGACACATCCTCGGTGGAGCCCGAGGGGAATGAAACAGGAGCGAAGAGCTTCTTCCCACTGCTGGTGGGCGAGTGAGTGGGCTCAGAGGATGGGCCTGAAAGAGAAATAAACAATCAGTCTAGAGGTCAATGCCATTACTGCCAGGTCCAAGCAATTTCTTTCTTGAAGAGACAATATGTGCTCCATGAACAAAATTCAAAATGCAAATAACAGTATTTCTTTTTCAAAGATTTATTTATTTATATAAGAACTGGGGTGCAGGCAGAGGTGTGGGGGGTGAGAGGATTCACCGGATACAGAGTGGGGAGCAGAACAGGTGGATCTATGGAAATATACTGCTGAGGGGAGCAGCAAGCGGGCCAGGAGAGGTCTGCCGCGCCATGTGGGTCACCTCCGGGGCTGGGGATCGAACTCGTGCTGCAGTAACTGCAGACAGTTTCATAGTGCTACGCTTTAACCCACTGTGCCACCAGGGAGACATACAAAGTAAACAGTATTACTGCAATCTCCCTCTTACCCTGTCCCTAAGCACCCTGTTCCTCCCATCAGTGCAAACCACTGGTAGCAATTTCTCACACATCCTTGGAATGTGCCCAATGACCCAAGTAAACGCACAAGCACCCTTTTACACAAAGGAACAGCAACTGTGGCTGCTGTTTGGAACACTGCTTTTCTGCACTTGACACTACATCTTAGGGAAAACTTCACATCTAATGTAGAGATTGAATTCTTTTTAAGAGCCGTTCCATAATATGTCACAAGAGGGACCATTATGCTTCATTTAACCAGTCTCCCCAGGGTGGACACTTAGGTTCCTTCAATGTACTTTTGCATACAATGTCACAGAAACAGCAAACTTGACAAGAGGGCTTGAATGGACTCTTTTTTAAAGTCCGGTATCTAGAAGGCCCAGTATGGCTCCAGTAAAACTGGCTCCTTTGTGGGCCCTCCCATCCCAGCACTAAGAAGCTAAAGCCACTTCAGCATGAATTCGATCCCCAGCCCCGGTCCAGCAGACCTCTCCTGACCCGCCTGCTGCTCCCTTCAGCAGTGTACTTTGTCATTCAGCCTGTTCTGCTCTCCCCTCTGTCTCTGGTGAATCCTCTCACCGTCTCCTGCACCTCTGGCATGTACCCCAGCTCTGTATGCATAAATCAATAAATATTTTTTAAAAATTGCCTCCTTTGAGTGTGTAGATGTGAGTTTTGATGGGCACTTGCTGGCTCAGGGTTATGGCAGACACACAGGCATTTAGCAGGCAGAGGAACAGGACTTGGTAAATGAAGAAACTTCTCGAGGGCAGGGAGTCTTTCCTAGCAGGGAGTCTTTCCTGGCCTGCAGCCTGAGCCCGGTGCAGGCAGACCCGGGGTCTGAATTGGGGAAGCGTGATTATTACGACCCCAGATTTCTGCAGACCTTCTGAAAACCTGCCCAGGCAGCACACGGATGGGCAGTGCAAGGGCCAGGGAAGACAGGGCGATGCCAGGCTTCACAGTCTTTGTGTCAACAGGTGAAAGGGACAGATCAGTGTAACCAGAGTTCAGGGAAAACAACACATCGGACAAAGCATGGGTGCTGGAGACAGAAACGGGCAAACGACACTCATTTCTTTCATTTGGCCTGACTCCACGATGACGTGGCTACTACTGGAGTAACAGATTGTAGTTACTCCATGGGCTCATGGGTTATAAAATGCACATGGTTATTCTGTAGGTTCATGTGGGAAAGAAACACAGGCCTCAGACTCGGGGGGCTGATGGTGAGCACCTTCATTTTGTTCACCGTGCATAGTACCAACAGAGCAGGGCAGGTGAAGTCTCTCTCGACCTCTCCCACTAAGCAGGAAGACAGGGATGGAAGAACACAGTGAACACATGCCCTGAGGCAGTGGCGAAAAGCTTCAAAGAAACCAAGTGCTAGTCTGGGTCACTCGCTTGGATGCGCGTGGCCTTTCCAGGACTGCTCGCGAATGGTCAGTGATCTGCGTGCAGAGTCCTGCTCTGCGCTTCCCAATCACAGTATAAGCAGAACGGAGCCCTCAGGAGTAAACACTGGCACCAAGTTCCTCTGCCCAAGGCTGGGCCACCTTCCTTGGATGTTCCACAGGGTAGAGGGACCCTCTCCATATCAAGGTGGGTGCAGACACACACGTCCCGGCTTCATTCACTAGGACATCAACGTGTGACACCAGGACCCTCTGTCCCAGGGCAAGTCTAGCGGCAAAGCCACAGGAGGACAAAGCTGAGGTATGAGGCCTATTGAAGAGGGGCTGGGGACCAACAGGTTCATGCAAAGAGAAACCCTGGACCCAGGAGTTGGGCTGTGTGACCCACACTTACACCTTGGTCAGCTCCCCATCTCTGGCACCTAGGAGGGGGGCGGGATGTTTCTCATGCTCCCTTCTGCTGCTTCCACACTGCTGTGGGCAAGCACTCTTGCTTCCAGTGGTTTATCAAGATCACTGCAAGTTCTGTGAATTGCTAAAACAGGTGGGGCACTCACAAGCAAGGTTGAATGAGTGATTTATATCCCTAGCAGGAGGCCCAGCTAATTTTAAAACAAGTAATAGTGACACAGTCACTCTACATGTTCATGTATTTTCCTTTCTTCATCAGGATGGAGGTACACAGGACACAGACAGAGGTAGGGGGTCCTAGTCACAACTGAGGTCAGCAGGCTCGGAAACCCTGGAGTCCCACCCCGTCCCCCCAAACCCCCAAACACTCTAGGAGAAAGCCTGGTCAGCAGTGGGGACAGATGAAGGCTGGGGTGGCAGCTGAAACACTTTTTCCACCTCCCCCCTCGAGCAGCAGCGGCGGAGTCCTCCGTGGGCCCCAGGCCAATACAGGGACAAACAGGCCAGTGGATGAGGCTCTCAAAGGTCACACGGACTTAGCCACCAAGTCCCCAGCCTTGAGCAAGAGGCCTGGTGCGTGAATACAAACATACCCATTTCCTGGCCTCTCTGCTACCCTTGAGGGGTCTGATTCTCAACATGATGATGGAGATGGGGTCGGAATGTGCTTTAACCGCTCCTCCAGTTATGGGGGCTTTGGTGGTTAGTGTGGTATGGCGACATGTACCTCAAGAGGTGTGATCCTACGCCCTAAGTCATATACAGTCTCTAAACAAACGTTACCAAGACATCAATCAAGAATATGAGATTACTGATAAAAAACAAAACAACCAGGCCCTCCCTGGTGGCGCAGCGGGTTGAAGCACAGCACTGAGAATCTAAGGCCGCTTCCGCATGAGTTCGATTCCCGCCTGCCCCGGAGGTGACCACATGGTGTGGCAGACCTCTCCTGGCCCGCCCGCTGCTCCCCTCAGCAGTGTACTTTGTCCATCTGCCTGTTCTGCTCCCCACTCTGTCTCTGGTGAGGCCTCTCGCTGCCCCTGAGCCTCTGGCCTGTACCCCAGTTCTGTATGCACAAATAAATAAATCTTTAAAAAAAAAAACAACAACAAAAAAAAAAAAACAAAACAACCAGCCCCTCCACTGAGAGGGAAGTCTGAGTATGGGTGGTCCTCTTGGGGCTCCCAGTCCAGCTGGCTGAGGAGGCTTCTGGAAATGAGTTTCTGCGCTAGGCTTTCTTTAAGCCTGGTGCTGATTTTCCCATTTAAACTTGTTTGTGTCCCTGGCTCTCCGCTCTCCTTGATGCCACCACCATGTCCCTTTCTGCAGACATGGACTCTGATCTGGGGGTGGGCAGCAGAATGAGCCCATAACTACCTAGTAACTTTACCCAATCCAGTTGCTTCATTTTAAAAATAACCAGAAAGCATCAGAGTGAAGGCCCTTCCAGCACTAATAGTCTATAATTTCAGCCACTCTCCATGTTCAACCTCTCCTAATAGGTATTTTGCCTCAAAGCTGCCCCTGAAATAAAATACCTCTAGACAGACAGTTGTGTTGCTTCAACATTCTCTATCTTTAGTTTCCACAATTGCCACTGGTAAACTTTCCAATCTGTATGGGTAGCAGGAATCTTAAAAACAAACAAACAAACAAAAAAATCTGGAACACTTTGTACTACCTAGACTTCCAAAGAGAATCTAGGGATTCTGCTTTAGATTGCAAGGTCAGGTCCAGCACAAAGAATAACTCATGGGCTCAGGTAGTCGCAAGGGATTTTCCTCTTTACTCTGAGTCTATTCTCTTGCTTGCCTATGGGCACTGTGTCAGTCAGAGCCTTTGATCAAATCTATATCCCATAAAGGTTTGGGTAAATCTGGCAAGAGACACTGGGTATTAAGAGGGAGCTGGCTTCAAGGTTTAGTGTGTGGATTATTAATATTTTTTTAATTGTGAGATTCCATTTGCCCCACAATTACTGAATCATGCTCTCACAAATCAGAGGATAAGAGGATGTTCCCGATCACAGCTCTCCCCCTCCACCCAACATAAAGGGCTCATCTGCTGAAGGGGGGCTTATCTGAAATGCAGACTTCACCTTCATATCTGGGCATCTGTATGATATTTGTATTTTAGGGAAAAAATCTTCCTAGTTCTAGAACAGGCCACCATCATTGACTGGAGACATGCTTCTAAACGAGGGTCCTATATAAGTATATATATATATACATATATATATATATATATATAGGAGGGGATGTATATATATAATAGTTTATTTTTACATCATTTTGTTCATTTTTTTTTTATCTCAATTATAATCCCTGTGGGTTTCCCATCACCGAGTCACCCATGTGCCATCACCATAGCCCCGTGCACTTCCCTCCCCCCCACCTCCGTTTTTGATCCCATACCCCTCCTCCTGAGGGGTCCTTTTTTTTTATTTATGCATACAGAATTGGGGTATAGGCCAGAGGTGCAGGGGCAGTGAGAGGATTCACCAGAGACAGAGTGGAGAGCAGAACAGGCAGATCAACAAAGTACACTGTTGAGGGGAGTGGTAGGAGGGTCAGGAGAGGTCTGCTACACCATGTGGGTCACCTTTGGGGCCAAGGATCGAACTCACACTGCAGGGGCTGTCACTAGCTTGCATTGCTGTGTCCTAACCCGTTGTGCCACCAGGGAGGGCCCTGAGGGGTCCTTTTTAAGTCTTTCTCGAGATATGGGGCCACAGTTGG